GCCCCCAGCCAGGGTCAACCCACCACACCGGTGAAGGATCTGGAGAAGAAGTGGTGGGAACAAAGCGCTGCGCGGATGGAGAGACGGCAGAGCCGCGGGGTTCCCCCGCCTGAGCATCTGGGGGATTTGGGAGGGAGCGAGGGAGGAAGAGAAGGAGCTTGTTGGGAAGATGGCGACTGCAGGGGGTGGGGAGGACCAGCGCTAGCAAACAGCTGCCGGTGCCAGAGGTCCTCGGGAAAGGGGAAGCGGCTGGAAATCGGGCAGCAGGTCGCTGCAGGAGCCTCCCTTCGGCATCGTCCTCGAAGAAGTCGGGTGGTGCCGGCCACCTCTTGAGTCGGTGGCTCAGCGTCAGGGAGGGAGCGTGGGCACGGTGGCAGCCGCTCAGCAGGCGATGACGTAGGGAGGATGTCACCGCTGGGTGAGGATTGTGTCGTTTGAGGGCAGCTGATGGGTAAGCCGCGAGCTAGAGAGGACGTCACTGCCGGGTGATTGTGACCACCCTGTGAGGGCAGAGAGCCTGTCGTCCCTCACAAAGGCCCCGGGCTCGCTGTGCGTTGAGGTCCTCGTCCTTGTCTTCTCCCGAGGCACGTCGTGTGCTGCAGGGCGCTGACAATGGCTTCCGCCTGGGAGAGGAAACATCAGCGCTCAGAGCTGGAGGAAGCGGCAACTTTCGTCCCCAGGCTCCTCGCCGAGTGTGCCCCCGTGAGCCGCGTTCCCATTCAGAATATCGTCGGAGTGCTGCTCTTTGCGGATATTTCAGGTGGGGTGAGCAGGGAGGAGCAACCATGGATGGACATGAGCCATTTTGGGACACACCAGCCCCTTTGGAGCCCTGCCCTTGCCCCTCAGACGGAGTGGTCGTCGCTGAGGTCTTCTACTGGGATGCTCAAAGTAGAGCGGGATGGGTTATCTTGGGCGGTCAACCACGGCTGCCGCCAGCACCGAGCCAGGCCACGGGAAGGTGTGACCTACAGGTTCTCGGGCCGGGTAGCGTGGAACTGGCTGCCGGGTCCTTTGGCCCACAGGGGCATTTCCTGATTTCTGGGTGTCCCCGTTACAGGTTTCACTGCTCTGACAGAGAAATTCATCCGGAGGAGCGGCACAGCCAGAGGCACTGATGAGCTGGTGCAAACCCTCAATTACTACCTGCGTGACGTTTTGGAGGGTAAGAGCCACGCTGCAGGACTGTCCGGCATCGGGCCAT